GATGATGATATTGTCATTCGTCGGTCCAGCCGTTAAAGTCGAATGGAAGCTTAGTGCTGCTCAGGAAAGTCTCATTACGACCGTTGTGTTTGCAGGTATGCTCGTCGGAGCATATTCTTGGGGTCTTGTTTCTGATAAATATGGAAGAAGGTATACTTAAATCCTATGATGCTCGACGCTTGTCATTTTTCGGGTTGTATCCCTTATTAAGTGATGACTATTACAATGACTATTATTATTGCTATTGTTATTGTAACAAAATATTATTATTAAAGAAAATTTGATAATTACCACCATCTATTGTTGCCAAAATTGAAAATACCACCTCAACTTATTTTTTTTTTTTTTTTGAATTTTACCACCTAGTTTTTTCCAAAAGTTTTGAAAATTCCACCACTTTGTGAGATGAAGTCATTGTGGGACCTATAATTTTGTTTTCCCTCTCTTTCCCACGATTTCCCCTATTCTTCTACTCCCTTCTTTCAATATCATCTCTCAAATTTGATTTCAATTACACAAATTTCGCAAATTAGGTTATAATTTCTACAATCTAACCTACAACGAACTGAATTGATTAGTTTAATTAGGGTTTGGGTAATCAATTTGGGGGTTTTGCTAAATTCGACAAATTAGGGTAATCAATTTGGGGGTTTTGCTAAATTCGACAAATTAGGGGTTTATTCGTGGTAATTACCTGTTTAATTGTCCACTTATTCATTCAATTTTAACTTCATAAACCCTAATTTGTCCAATTCAGTAAAACCCCCAAATTAATTACCCTAACACTAATTAATCTAATCAATTCACTTCGTTTGAGGTTAGATTGTAGAAATTATAACCTAATTTGCGAAATTTTTGTAAATGACATCAAATTTCAGAGTTGAAATTGAAATAGGGGAGTAGAAGAACAGGGGAAATCGAGGGAAGAATGAGGAAAAGAGAGGGAAAAGGAAATTGTGGGTCCCACAATGACGTCATCCTACAAAGTGATGGGATTTTCAATACTTTTGGGAAAAACTAGGTGGTAAAATTCAAAATAAAAAATAAAAAATTGAGGTGGTAATTTCAATTTGGCAACAATAGATGGTGGTAATAATTATCAAAATTTCCTTACTATTACTATTATTATTACAATAATTATTATATATAGAATCAATTTTCTTATTGTTATTGTTATTATTATTATTACGGAGTATATAATTATTACAATAATTATTATGATCAACGATGTGTAGGGCAATAGAGGCAACCGGGCAAGTGAAAATTGGTCATCATGTGCCCCTTTTAAAACAATTTCCAAATACATAAAATTATACAAAGTATTAACTTAGCTAATATTTTTTTAACTAATTTTTTTTTAAAAAAAAATCAATAATTTTTTTTCTAAAAATTAATTTCCTATAAACTAAATTATTTTGAGTTAATAATAGCTTGTAGAGTTTATGTCTTTATTTCAATTTCTATGATGCCAATAATTTCTCTTTTAAAATGAGCAAATACAAAATGTTATAACTTATTCGAGGTTTTGGTGTACCTAGAAATAGGTACACCCAATGAATGATAGGTGACGGACTCCCTATTTGGAAGTGCTATTTATTTTCTTTGGGTGGTTAGCATTTTAATTAGATTTGTTTGTAGAATCTTTGACACTAGTATTAATATGTAATATAACTTACAATATTCTTTAGGGTTTTTTCATTTTTACCACCTTCAAATAATGACTTTGTCGAATTTACCACCTCCAAAAAAAAAACATTTACTTTACCACCTCATAAAAAAATTAAACATCAGTTTTACCACCTCATCTGAGCTCAGGTGACGGAAAACGCTTGTGGGGCCCAGGATAACGGCTAGTTTTTGATTTTTTCCCAAATTTCTCTCGATTTCCCTTTTATTTAAACCTAGTTCTTCATTTGTACACCAAATTCTTGCAGATTGGAGATTAATTTTTGCGATTACTTCACAAATCAGTAATTTTGGGCAACCTTAACAATCCCAAACCCTCTAATTATCAAACAATCAATTGAACTCCTCGACAACAAGCATCAAAAAGGTAAGCCATTGTCGTTAATTCTCTAGCAATTTTCGTGATTTCTGTTGTAATTTTTTGGCAATTCGTTGCGTGATTATGTTGCATTTGCTAAGAGTAATTGAAATTGGGCGTTTTGTGAAGTCAATTAAACCCCAATTTCAATTAAAATACTTAGGGTTCATGTAAGATTAAATTAGATTGGGGGTTTTTGTTATGTGAATTGGCTACTGAAATTAGGGTTATATTATGGTGATTGTGTTCAAATACAATTAATTTCATTCTTGTTCTTACTGAATTTCAGAAGGGAATGTCTTCAGTTAGCATGTCACCCTCAAAGGAGAAAAAATGCCAATGTGGAGTTCCAATGTCTAGGCTGACTGCTTGGACTAGGGAGAACCCAGGACGCAAGTTTAGGACCTGCAAATTCTATGATCCTGTGACTGAGTCAAGGGGGTGTAAAGCTTTTGAGTGGGTGGATCAACCAGATGGAACACCTTGGCAAACAGAGGTGATTAACAACTTGCTGCTGGACAAGAAACTAATGAAGGGAGAGCTGAATGACATGAAGAGGGAAGTTGATGATGTTAGTGGACAAAGGAGGTGCTTGCTCAATGAGATTGACAGCTTGAAGATGAAATGCAAAGCTCTTAGCTCAGACAGGAAGAAGATGATCAAGGAAGTGCATGGCAGCAATGCAACAACAAAGAAAATGCTCACAGTACATGCTATTGTTGTGTTTTGTTGTTTTGGTTTGGTACTGCTATGTATTTTAGATCTTAGGTTCATTTAGGAATGCTTAGAAACAAAAAAAATCCCCAACTTATGTTGTGTTTTGTTGAATTATTATGTGTGGATGTTGGGATGACATTTCTTGTACTACTTTTAACAAAATCAATGAGAAATGGAACTTTTTGGTAGAAACGTATCACAATTCGTATTAGTACTTGCAACACAATGTTTGAAATTGTTTTACATTGGCTGAGACAAAAGTTAAGGCACCTTTGTGCAAAATCATTGTTCAACTATCATTGTTCAACTACCAAATAAACTTGGTTGTCTATTACAAAATACTAATGAGTAGACCTAGGGTCACAGTTGATTGAGATCCTTGTCCTTCTTGCTTGTCATTACATGAAGCTTGGACCTGGTCTGTATTTTGACTTTGGGAGGAGTAGTTGTTGGCACTCTTGTGGGCTGACTCAGGCTCCTGTTGCTCCTGGTAACAGGCTGAGTTGGCAAAGGCTCTATTCTTGTTGCAGGCTGGCTTGACACAGCAGTTGCAGGTGCAGCATTACTTGACCCAGCCTGTACTGTTGTTGGAGGCTGATATTGTGGCAACTTCAGTGCAGCCTGCAATCACAGTATGACAAGACTCAGAAACAAAGCCACTAAATACACTCAAGTCACAAAATACACAAAATACCTGTCTTGCTGCTTTCTCTTCACTTTTCTTTCTCTGTTCCTTAAGCCAAGGAGTCTGCATCTGTGGCCTCCCACCCTTTGGATTTGTTGCAGGTGGGTTAGGCTGTTCTGGTGCTGCTTCAGCCTTGCATGTTTTGGCAAAGTGGCCAAACCCACCACAGTTCTTGCATTGTTTCATCACCTTTGGCTTCTTGCCCTCAGGTGCTGCAGAAGTGCCCTCCCCTGGTTCAAGCTTTCTCTTTTTTGCCTTAGGTCTTCCTGGCTGCACTTTCAGCATAGGTGGCAAAGGCTGTCTGAGCTTGACCTTTTCCCAATTCTTAGGGCCAGGCATTGGCTGTATTGGGTTCTCATATGCAGCCAAGTATGTCACCCTATAGTAATGTGGGTGCACATACAACTCAGGGTCATCCCTTTTGTCCATTATGCAAGCAAATGCATGGACACAAGGTATTCCTGTCAACTCCCATCTATAACAAGTGCATTTTCTCTCTTGCAGATCCACAATGCACTGATCATCCTTGTATTTCACCTCATAAACTTCATCCCTTGAAGCTGTAACCTCACATGTCATGGCATACTTCTCCAACCCATCAAAGACTTTGTTGACAAATGGGGTTAGTAAACCTTCCCAAGACTTTGCTGCCTCCCATTTGTCATTACTCCTCTTCATCATATATCTTCTAAGCCATTCCATTTGAGTTAGAATAGGCTTGTCTCTGGCATCTCTAATCACTGCATTAAATGTCTCACACATGTTGTTTAACAACATGTTAGACTTGTAGTTTGTAGAGAAAGCATGCCTTGACCAGTGTTGGGGTCAATGTTTGACAACCACTGGTATGCTTCTTCATCCAAAAAATTGATACTTTCCATAGCAACTTCAAACTCAAACTGATACAACCACACACATGACAACCATTCAACACAACATAGACACATGGCATACAGTTTTCACAAAATAGAAAGACATGCAAATATGTGCAAAACTAAATGTTCCTAGCATACATTATAGTTCACCATAAAACTGACATAAAAGAACCTAAATAGAAGCTTACCAAAGTGCTTGCCCTAGCAGCAGCCCAGAACAATTCCTTGAAAGTTGCACCATGAAATTTCAGTTTGAAATTTGACCAAATATGCCTCACACAAAATCTGAGCTCAGCTTTGGGGGCCACATCTGCAAATGCTTCTATGAGACCCTACACACAAGGCAAAACTAACAAGTTAGTGTACAGAAAATTCAAATACAGCAAAGTAATTTAAACACAAACACAACCCACTTACTTTCTGTCTGTCAGACATAAAAGTCAAGCCATCTCCTTGGTCATACACACAAAGTGCCTTGAGCAAGCTCTCCAGAAACCAGCACCAGCTGTCCTTGTTCTCAATCTCTGCAGTTGCCCAAGCAATTGGGAAGATGGAATTATTGCCATCTTTTCCAACTGCAACCAAGATCTGCCCAGGGTATGCCCCTTTTAGATGGCACCCATCCACCCCAATTACTGGTCTGCAACCACCACATTACACTCACTCCCTGGATTCCATTTCAGCAGTGCCTTCCCATAGTCCCAAACCTTTGAGTATTGCTCTGATGAAGAGCCATATATTATAAGCTTTGCCCTGCTTCTAGCCAACCAAGCCTTGGAGTATGTAATTTTGATCCCCAAGTCATTCAAGGCCCTGTCCTGAATCTGTTTAATCTTCCATCTGGGGTTTCCCCTGAACTCCTCCAAGTACCTGTCAGCAAGGAACTCTGCTGTCACCTTGTTGTTCATTTTACTCCTAACACACCTATGCTTCAGCCTTAGTGTCTTAATTTTCCAAGCCTCTGATTTCACAAGCCTTGTTGCATAAAACTTGAACCTACACCTAACACCCTTACTACATGTACACTTCACTATCCTACAACTGTTCTTGTTATACACACACTTGCATTTCCTTTTGCAATATGCTGTTAGCCTCTTTGAATCATTGTGAAGAAGGTAATACTCATACCTATTTTCAATTGCATGTGTCTCAAAGCTTTTCTCATTGTTTGCACATCACTGAACCTTTGACCAACTACAAATTTGATAGCCCTTTCAAAGTCTGTCTCAGGGTTAAACCAAGTAACACTACCCTGATCATCATCTGAATCACCTTCCACAGTCTTTAGCTCATCAGAATCACAAGTTGCCTCCTCTTCAACCCTCACTTCAATTTTCTGTAGATTTCTTTCTATGTCAAACCCTGTGTCCTCATCATCACTTTGATCCCCTCCTTCAGTAACTCCCCTCAAACTGCCTTTCACCTCACTGTTAATATGGTCTAAATTTTTCTTCAACCACTGTTCATCATCATCAGAGTATAAGTCCTCCTCTCCCTCATCAACTTCTAACTCAAAATCACTCAACTCAGAATCAGAAGACTCTGTATCACCATCCTCATCACTAAACACATCACTGTCATCCCTTAAGCTCCTCACTCTTTCTTTTATTTTTCTCACTAAATTAGCAAAATTTCCAGTCTCATCCCCAACCTTAGCCTTACCCTTATCTGTAGCAGTGAGTTTACCCTTCCCTTTATGTGTATTAGCATTCACTTTCTCTGCCCTAGGAAGCCTCTCCTCAGCCTCTCTGTCATGTATAACAATGCCTTTTAACCTAGGGCTTCTCCTAAATGGCTCTTCTTCAGTGGGCTTACTAAGTTCTGGGCTGGGTTTGTATACTTTAGGCCCACCAAACCTCTTTTTCAGTTCCTTCCTTTGTGCAGGGGTTAGCTCATTCCCAGATATACATTTGAAGGGTGTTTTGTTAGTCCCTTCAATTGGCTCATGACTGGTAACATACATCTCACATGCCCCCTTTTTGTTCACCGACTCTAGGAAACCATTCACCTCACCATCAACAAGCTCCCTTTTACCATTCACCCAAGACTTGCCCTTTTGTTTATACCAGCAACTAAACCCCCTAGGAACCTTCACATTCACATACACAAACCCATGTATAGCTGCTTGCCTCAAAAAGTGTACATCTATCTTATTTTTTTCCACCTTTCTCATCCAATAAACCCACCCACCATCCCAAGTTAACACCCTCCTATTTTTACCAGCTAAAGAAGGTATAAAGGCACCCCCTACTGTAATTTTTAAGTCCACTGTGTCCATTCTGTAACAACACCAACAAAAGCACACACAACAATAACCAATTTCAGTAATTACAGTAAACAACAACAACCAATTCACCAATTACAGCAAGTAAAAGCAATTCACATTGACTATGCACTAAATTAACAGTAAACAAGTAAATCTAATTAACTAATTATTTAACAAATGCACACTCTAATTCAGTCAAAGATTCGCATAATTAGGGTTTATAATACTTTAATTCACAGATTCCCCATAAAGGCATACTTTACCCCAATTGGCAACCATAAATCCAACGAAATGTACTAATAAAGGGTTTAAAGTACCTCTTGTAGTCAGGAATCTCGATTTCTGTCAGCAAATTACCAAGCTTTTGGTCCCCTCACCCTGTGGAAGATGACAAGAGAAGCTGATGTGTTGCAATTTTGTGGTTCCAGCTCGATTTCAACCACCCAAATTGATCTAGGGTTTCAGTTTTTACAGAGAGAAAGAGAAAAATCAAAGGAGAGAGAAGCAGTTACAGTGAGAATCAAGAAAAATCAAAGGAGAGAGAGACGAAAATTGATGAGGAAGTGAGAAATTTGGTGAGACATTGATTATGGAAGGTGGAAGGTGAGAAAAGGAGGAGACAGAGGGAAATCGATTTTAAAAGAATTAAATTGAGGGAAGTGACAGTTAACTGGGCCCCACAAGCGTTTTCCGTCACCTGAGCTCAGATGAGGTGGTAAAACTGATGTTTATTTTTTTTATGAGGTGGTAAAGTAAATGTTTTTTTTTTGGAGGTGGTAAATTCGACAAAGTCATTATTTGAAGGTGGTAAAAATGAAAATACCCTATTCTTTATTATGAAAATCAACCTAAATGAATATATTTTTAATTCAAACAATTTATATGTATGAATCATTAACAATTTAACATGAATACTTGATCATCACTATGTTGGATAAGAAAAATTATTAGATCAAATTTAGAGATGTGCATACATTGATTGTAATAAATTTATAGTTTTATATGTTAAAAATCTAAATTTTTATTTCAGTCATATATCTTCTATGTAACTCAATATTTTTTACCACTATCCACTGATCCAAAATTATGAATCTCATATAATACCAACTAATTTGTATCAGGAAAGGATATATGTTCTCAGCAGTATTAACAGCTGCAGCTGGATGCGTAAGTGCAGGTTCTCCAAATTATGCAGTCTTGCTAATATCACGTTGCATTGTAGGCAATGGCCTCGGCGCTGGTCCTGTACTGCTAACTTGGTTTTTAGAATTTGTACCTGCACCTAGTCGCGGTACATGGTTAGTCCTTTTCCAAGCTTTTTGGACCGTTGGTTCAATTGTCGAGTCTGCCTTAGCCTGGGTATGTTCATATATACTAGTTCTTTATTTCATTACCAGAAAACTTTTATGAATTCATATTAACTTTTTAAAAAGTCTGGGAGTACTCTTATGAATAGTGTGTGGACATTTAAACTCCTAAAAATGTTTGTTTACTTATTTATCTTCATTAATGTTAACGAATTTATTTTTACAACATTTAAAATGTTTGTTTATTTGTTCACTTATTTATTTTGTACATATTTTTTCTCATTAATACTTCAAAGTGCCAACAGCTAAATTTGTGACATAAAACCAAATCAAAAGAACTCAAATTTCTTCAAATTTGATAGGTTGTAATGCCAAGGTTAGGATAGAGATGGTTGCTGGGTCTATCAGTTTTGCCTTCATTTGTTTTGCTCATATTCTACCTAATTACACCCGAGTCACCAAGGTACTTATGTTTGAAAGGCAGAAAAGCCGAGGCTTTTCAAGTTTTGGCAAAAATGGCCAAAGTGAATGGCAAAGAACTACCTCCAGGGATTCTCGCAACTGATATGGAACTAGAAGAGCAAAATTTTGTAGAAGATGATGGTGCTTTTTCGAAAGATTGGAAGGATACAGAAATGACTGTACAACGATCAATTATGATACTCCTTTCACCAAAATTGATCCGTACAACAATACTTCTTTGGGTCGTGTTCTTTGGAAATTCCTTAGCTTACTATGGTCTCGTGTTACTCACAACTCAGTTAAACAATGACAATGTATGTGGTCCTAACAAGAACAACGTCGAGGATAACAGTCCTGGTGCTGGTATCAATTATAAGGAAGTCTTCATCACTAGTATTGCAGGTATGTTTTTAATTTGTTAGTTAAGGATAGAGTATAAAACATATTCATGTGATTCAACCATCAGCTTAATCTTTTGGTTAAGTTGGTCTACTAACATGATAGAATGTAAAACATATTGTTGGGCTTCACCAATTAGACAAGACTATGTTTTATTCTCTATCAGTTTACTTCCTTCTACAATGTAACTTTGATAAAATGAACAAACTTTTGACTTTTTTTTTTAATTATTTTTTTTTTTTTGTAGAATTCCCCGGCCTTGTCATTGTTGGACTCCTAATTGATCGAATTGGTCGTAAGAATTCAATGGCACTTATGTTAGCTGCATGTTGCGCGTTCTTGGTGCCTTTGGTAGCCCGTCGATCTGAAACTTTAACAACCGTTCTTATGTTTGGTTCTCGAGCATGTATTATGGGAACATTTACTACTGCTTTCATTTTTGCTCCTGAGGTATATCAACATCCTTGTACATTTCACTCATTTTTTTCAATAATCTTTTCAATATGACTTTTTTCACTCATTTTTTCAATAATCTTTTCAATATGACTTTGAAATTTTGTTCTGTTTATATTGTACAATGTAGATATATCCAACATCAGTAAGAAATACCGGGTTTGGAACTGCAAGCTCTATGGCAAGAATTGGCGGTATGGTCAGCCCTGTCGTGGCTGTAGCCTTAGTACAAGGATGTCATCAAAAGGAAGCTGTCCTGTTTTTCGCCGGTGTAGTCTTGGCTACAGCCGTTGCTGTCTTACTCATTCCATATGAAACTAAAGGTCGCGAATTGACTGATAGTGTTGGAAGTACTAAGCATGATAGAAAGAAAGTTGCCAAAGAAGAGATAGATGTGCAAAGACCTCCTACTTTGAATAATGCTTAGGACTCTTAGCAATCAAAATGAGAATTAAGAAACTTCTTAGTTTTTCAAACGTCTGATCCTTTTATTCAGAAGTTTGTATGTTTTAGGTATTCTTTATCATATTTGTTTTAATGTTTTAGTTAGTTTAGTTACCACTAATTAGTAAACTTTGTTTGAGCAAAAGGGCTCTACTAAGAACACTAAGAAGATAGCATAGCATCTTTGATTATGTAATGTTTCAAGTATAGGTTTGTACCTGTACTAAATTTTGAGAATTTAGAGATCAATTAATGGATGGTATATCATAATTTTTCTGCACCTTTATGCTTACATGTTAATTTTTGTAAATGAGCCATTTTAGTAATATAAATCATGATTATGTATATTGCATTCAATTACAAAATCCATCATCAGAGAGTGAGGAATAGCTCAAGTGGTTAGAGCTCTCCTCCCGATTCCAAGAGATCTTGAAATCGATTCTCATCACCCGCCCTTGTGATTCTCTAAGTACCAAAAAAACAAAATCCATCATCAGTAGCAATTCTTAACTTTGAACTAAAGCAGAGTTTAGCACGTGCAAATTTTTCTCATTAAAGAAGGTTTTTTTTTACCTCCCTCTCTTTATCTTAAATTAATGAAATAGAAAACCTGCTACATTATCACACATTCACTTTTCGATGCAAGTTAGTTTAAGCATCTACATGATCCTCCAATAATCCCTTAGTAAATCTCCTATCGAATTAAACAATCAAAATGCAGTTATAACACCATTTGGCATTTTTTATGTTGATATGATAAGTAAAAATTGAAAACGCATTAACTTAAGAGTTTATATCTACACAATAATCTATCTATATCTATCTATATACTATAACTAGTTTAGTCCCCTGCATTGCACGAATTTAATAGCTATTATTTGTTTAAAATATTTGTTAACATTCTTTATTTGAAAAATAATGTAATCATAATTTCATTAATTTATTTTGAAAGAAGTATTTGTATTTATTTAATCATGAAAATTTGAAGGAAAAAAAAAGGGATAAAATTTTTCATAGAAAGTTGGCATGTGTTCTTTAATGATGTCGGCATGTTTTATTTTAGTAATAGTTAATAGATAAAATAATACCTAGAAATTTTCCCACTTACAACTTTGTTTTTGTTTTTTTTTTTTTTATGCAATTTTAATAAAAAAAAAATTAACAAAAACTTAAGTTATTTTAAAAGTTAGTTTTATATCGTGAAAGATTAGATAAAAAAAAACTCTTATCTTAACATTCATAATTCTAGAGTTAAGAATATAAGTGGAGACTAAACTTTCATAAAATGTAAAAGTAGGGGACTGCAGTTTGGGAAGTTCAAAGTAGGGGATTAAAACCGGCTGAACAAGTGATCATCGGTTTCTTAACTTGTAATAGGGAGTTTCCATTAAAAAAATAAAGGGAAAAAAAATAATGCTTCTGATGAGTTGCAGAGCTCGATATTCGTGATGAATATCAGCCGTAGGAGAAAGGCGGGAAAGGAAGTGATTCTTGAAGCTTCTGTAGGAAGTGGAGGGGACCTTTTTTCCTATAAAAGGAGTACTATCATCTTCTTTAATGCCCACAACACCATTTTCAGAAAGCTCCAACTTAAAACCAAAAAAAAAAAAAAAAAAAAAAAAAAAAAAAAAAAAAAAAAAAAAGAATCCTTTATTCTCTGCTTGTGTCCATGTACTGGCCTACTGGTCCCAGCTTTGAGGATTCAGTTGGGAGAAAAGTTGCACGACTCGGTTCCGTTGAAGGTATATTCCCTGCTCTTTTGGTTTGTAGTGTTCCTTTACACATGTTTGTTGTTGTTTTTTGTTCATGAATAAACCTTGAGAAAGTTGTTTTTTTGGCATGCTTTTCAAGTAAAACATGTGAATATGTTGGTTGAAGTTATAAAATTGGTTAAAAATTATGGTTAATGTTGATGATGGTTTATGTGAGGATTTATTAGTTGACTTTGGCCATGGAAATGTATATTTTATCATGTATGTAATTAGTTTAATTTTTTTGTGATTAAGTAGTAAACATGTTGTTAGGGTTTTCATATTTCTGTGGGTGTGTGCTTGAGACCTTAGTCAGTAGTGTCTTACACTCCATGTACTTATGACCTAGGTATGGATGCGCTTGAAGATGCACACCCCCTGTTTAGCTCGCAGGACTTGCTGGTGACCCATGTGTTCCCAAAGCTGGACTAGGAAGGGAGGGATGCCATTGAGTTGACTTACAAGAAATGGAGGATGTGGTAGAGGCTCAGGCACTTGGTGTTCACCTACCCCTTCAACGGCCCCAGGGCTGCTAAGAGTGGGTCCTGAAATATGTCCTCTACAACAATGGGAGGGACCTTCATGCTTGGATGGAGAAGGACATGACTGTGTACTTTGACGGCTTCCCATTGCTGTTCAAGGAGGAGGAAGCCTAGGGACCATGGGTCTAGTCTATGGAGCTGTTGGTTTTTGGGTTAGGTAGCTGCTTGGTTTAAGCTTTTTTTTTATGTTTATTCTGTAAAAATTGGGGGTAGTTGTAGTCCTACCTTTGTCATGGCAAGATGTAGGGGCATGTGACAAGCAATGGTATTTCATTTTGTGCTTGTCAATGCCATGACAATGGTTTAGTAGTTTAAGTTGGTGTCTCTGAATCTTATGAACTAATTCTGATGATGATGATTTGTAAATATTAAATATTTTGGTTGTAATGAATGGATACATGGACTTATTTCCATGTTTTTATAAAATGAAATGAAGTAGTTTGTTCCATCTTATGCACATATGGTTGATTATTTATTCTCTTATGCACAAATTATTCTATTATGCACATATCCTTGATTACTTAAGTGATTGCTGATACTTTTATTTGTTTGATGAAACTGCTGATAGTATATTAGTATAGTATGAAATGATCAAACTGATTAATTACAACTCATGTATGAACACATATAACATGAATCTAAAGCCATGTATGATTGTTCATCATGGTGGGGAATGGGTACAAAACACAGGACATTTAGTCTACAATGGAGGTAGAGTTAGATTGTTTGAGGACATTCCTGACAGTGTTGATACAAAGTACTTGAAAGAAGTGATTGATTCTTTGGGGTACACTGATATTGTGAAATTGCATTTCTTGGACCCTATGAAAGACATCCAGACTGGTATTAGGTGTTTAGGGTTTGATAGCAGTAGCTGTGATCCCTTCTTGTCACTTTTGCTTGAGTTAAGGCTTATTCATGTATACACAGAGCATGAGTTAAGTGATATCAGTACTACTAACTACAATGACTTAGGGAGGGGTTCTTTAGTTCAGTTATTAACTAACATGGAGGGGCTAGGTAGCTTCACACCTAGAAATATGGAACCTGAAATTGATTATGATACAGAAGGATCAGATGAGGATGATGTTGAGTATGTTGATGCAAGGAATAGGGTAAATGAGGAAAAAGTACAAAAAAAAGTCTTATGAAGATGAGTTAGAGATGCTAAAGAGATTAGATGACTCTAAACACCAGAAAAAGAACAGATATAGCACTGACTCAGATGTAGGGACAAAGAGTGACATGCATACTAACTCTTCAGCAGATGAGGACTCAGATGAAGATGATTTTGGGTATCTTTTGCCACCTGAGATAGGTCATAGGAGGACACAAACTAGGAAAGACTCTCACAGAAGTATTCCTTTTTTGTTGGGAAAAGATTTGAGAGTGTTGTTGCATTTAGGGAAGCAATAATGTGTTACTCAATTGAGTAAGGAAGAGAAATTATGTACTCAAAGAATGTGACACGAAGGATTGGTTGTCACTGTTCTAATAAGGATAAAGGGTGCCCATGGAAGATTTGGGCATCATAGGATCAGAGCAGAAAATCATTCATGGTTAAAACTCATACAAGTGACCATACCTGTGGTAGAACCTCTAAAAATAAAAGACTTACAACATTATGGATTGCAAAAACCTTCCAGGATAGGTTTAAGGTCAATCCATGTATTAAAATTCATGGCATTATTGAGACCATATGGTCAGAGAAATGTGTAAAAGTGAGTAGGTATAAGGCTTACAAAGATAGGAAGATTGGTCAGAGCTTGATAGTTTGAGAGTATGAAGAACAGTATGCACTACTTTATAGGTATGTTGCTGAGTTCAAGAGAAGTAACAGAAACAACACCATAAAGTTGAAGCTCAATGGCTGTGTATTTGAGAGAATTTACATCTGTTCTGAATCTTTGAAAAAGGGTTTCCTAGCTGGATGCATACCCTTCATATCCTTAGATGATTGTTTCTTAAAAGGGCCATTTGGAGGTCAATTATTAGTTGTTGTGGGAAGATATGGGAACAATCAAATGTTCCCAATTGCATGGTCAGTGGTTGAAGTTGAGAGTACTGAGACCTGGACTTGGTTCCTAGAATTACATGCTAATGACCTTGGAACCACTGAGGGTGCTGGGTATACACTAATGTTAGATCAACAAAAGGGACTTCTTGCAGCAGTAGCAAATGTGTTGCCTTCAGCAGAAACAAGAGTGTGTGCTAGGCATATGTACTGCAATTTTAGAGGTGCTATAGGGGTGGGTTAGAATTCAGAAAACAATTTTGGAAAATAGCCAAAAGTTGTACAGAAAATGATTGTTTTAAAAACATTGAAACACTAAAGGCAATATCTACTGATGCAGGTGATGATTTAATGGGTAGAAATTACATGAAATGGTGTAGGGCTTTTTATAGTTCAATGTGGAAGTGTGGATAATAACATGAGTGAGGTGTTAAATGCATATATCCTCAACTCTAGACACAAACCAATCATTACAATGCTAGAAGATATCAGGGAAGGTCTCATGGAGAGACTGCATAAGAAAAAGGGATCAAATTCAGAAAAAGCAGCTACTGTTATGCCCCAGAATTCAGCAGAAATTAGAATGGAATAAAATTTGGGCTAGGGGATGGAATGGTTACTGGGATGGAGGGTGTTGTTATGGAGTTAGACAAGGTGCAACTAAGGAAATTTTTGTGGTGAATTTAGGAAACAAAACATGCACTTGCAGGGCTTGGGAGCTTAGTGGAATTCCCTGTAAGCATGCAATTATAGCAATGTGGAAAAAAGGGGATAATCCTGAGCCCTATGTCAATGATTACTTCTCTAAAACAACATATTTAAAGGCTTATCAGTACTTATTAGAGCCTTTGAATGGCCCTCGGCAGTGGCCATCTTCTGATGGTGTTATGGTCCCCCCCTAAAATGAAGAAAGTGCTGCACAGGCCCAAAAAAAAAAAAGGTTGCAAGCAGGTGAGGTTTCAGCATCTGGGAAGCTAAGGAAGATAGGTGTATGGATGACTTGCAATTTTTGTGGTGTACAAGGTCACAACAAAAAAGGGTGCAAGCTAAACAAGTCATAGTACCCTGATGCAACCAGGCAACAGCAGGAGCAGCAGGAACAGGACACTACACTTAGTCACATTCCCATGCACATGAGGGGAGTAGGAGTTTACACCTATCCAAATGGCTTTCAAAGAGTTGCAACTGTAAATTTTTAACTGTTGTTATGTGTTCAATATTTTTCTTTTGCACAAAATAACAATTTTAAGTAATACTTTACTAATTCTCACTTTCACATGGTGGAGTAGGTACTTCAGGTCCAAGAACTGATTCACAGCCTATGCATAATGTGCAACACAGGGTGCATGGGGCTTATTACTCATATCTTGATGGTGAGCAAATTGTCTACGCATTTTAGGCTGAGGATTACCCTCCATCAAGCTAACAAAGCCAACAGAGCCAACACACAACAACGGTAACAACACAGAAACTACATGTACTTTAATTTAACAACTACATTTACTACATCATTCTAAATTTCATAGTCTGATTACAAAATTTTTATGTTAGAACCTAGCAAGGGAAAAGCATACAAAGAAGAGAAAATAAGGTAACTTGAAGCTACATATTTTAATGCATTCATTGCCTTACATACAACCATATGAAAATTACAACAATTACAATAACATTTAAACAAACTTGAAATCTGATCCCCATCTTAGCAGCCATTTTCACCTTCAGTAGAGTGTAGTCAGCATTTACCTTCCTCGAGTACTTGTTTGCTTCAAACAAATCCTTCCTCATTGAAATCAGCTCCTCTTTCATTCAGACTCTGCTTCTCCTCCAACAATCTTAAAATAACATATGTCTGCCAAGTTGTGGGAGGTTTAATATCAACCCACTTAAAAAATTTGCATCCCCTTCTATCAGTGTCTTCATCATAGTCTGGACACGCAAGAAACCTTCTTTCAGGGTTATCTTTAGTCCATGCCCTTGTGCGTGACACTAGTAGCCCACAATTACACCTCCTTGGACTAGCACTGCTACTTGACATTATTCTGGATTCAATGAACACCAAAATTCTGAAAAATTAATAGTCAGTTAGTCACATAACTCAACACATCTATGGAATAAAGATTTCATTTACTGCTACTCAACCTGTTATGCAGGATCAAATTCAGAGGCAAACTAAGGCTAAAGCTTGATTTTGGATTTTGGATGTAAAAAAAATTGATAAGTACTCAGTGTTTATTGTTGTTCAAATTATGTTTTTGTTGGTAGAAATTATTCCTATACATACTTGGATAATGGCTATTGTATGGAATATTTCAAGCATTACTCCAAACTTGAACCCCACTGTGATCATACATTTAAGCATGGTGGCGTCCAAAGGGAAGGAAGATAGAGCAAAAGAGTCACCAACAAATTTTAGGAACTTGTAAACCGTTCAAAGGGTGAAGGTTACACCACTTAACGATCCAGGAGATCATTAACTCCAATAGGTCTGAAATCCAATCTAAAAGAAATTGAATCTGCCTTAATAATAGGCCTCTACATTATTCTTCTCGTATTTATGTGCGCTTTCTGATTAACAGGCAATTAATAGGTTTACCCTAAACCTGTTTATCTATGTTGGTTGAATATTAGGAAATTTTGTGTAGAACTACCCTAAAGATAAGGTCATTTGTGAACAACTACCCATATTTTTTTATTTGTTTAAAACTACCCACAAGTTTGAAAACATTTAGGTAGCACTACCCATTAACATTTTTCGTCCAATTAAGACATTATTGGAGCTCACTTTTTTCACTTTTGCCACCCAATTAACTCTCCCAATTTGTATAAAGGTTTTAATTTACCTTAATTAACCTAATTAAGGTTTTAATCATAATTTATTTCAGGGTTCATGAGTGTAGTATTATTCGGGGATTTTAATTTCTAAGGTTTGGGAATTTAATTGAATTGGGGTTTTTGCTTTTTTTAGCATTAATTGACCATTGTAATTGAAAAAAGTAAAAAATTAGGCCAAAATAACGTTTTAATGGGACGAAAAACGTTAGTGGGTAGTGCTACCCAAATTTTTCCAAACTTACGGGTAGCTCTAAACAAATAAAAAAAATGGATAGTTGTTCACAAATGACCCTATCTTTAGGGTAGTTTTACACAAAATTTCCTAAATATTAATACACAAATAAAACTATTATTGGCGATCACTTGAATTATAATCAAATTAACCCTAAACAAGATTATTAATTATCTTAATAAGCGTGATTACAAGTACAAATTCCCTTTAAACATGCATAAAAAGCGTGATCAAGCAATAACAATAAATATATATCAAGCAATGTAATGTTAACAAATTATACATAAGTTATCCGTCAATTAAAAAATAATATGAAATAATTCGTAAATTAACAAATTATGTAAACAATTCATAAATTAACAAATT